TAATATTCTTGTATGATATTCTGTATTTCTATTTTGTTTGTTGTAATTTCTCCATTTTCCTTTCTTCTTTTGCTAATTTGTGCTCTCTCTTTTTTCTTCTTTGTGAGTTTGGCCAGAGGTTTGTCGATTTTATTTACTTTTTCAAAAAACCAGCTTTTGGTTTGGTTGATTTTTTCTATGGTCTTGTTAATCTCTATTGTATTTAATTCCTCTCTGATCTTTATTATTTCCTTCCTTCTGCTGCTTTTTGGGGCTTTTTGTTCTTCTTTTTCTAATTGATTCAGGTGGTGGGTTAACTTGTTTATTTGAGATTGTTCTTCTTTTTCATATTATCTTGTTTTATTCTCTTCATAGCACTAACGGCTCTCAAAAATTTAGCATGAATACCCAATGATGAAAAATGCTAACCTGGTTATCTGTGCCTTGATTCTATTCTAATTCTTCTAAGGCCTTGTTCCATTCATTACCTGTTTTCTTTCTTGTATCTCCTATCTCTTCCTCTCTCCACTGGCTACTTCTAGCTATAAACAATCTCAATTCTTCCTCTATTGTTAAAAACAGCAACAACAACAAAAACCTTTCCTATGGATCAGCTAACATGGTCAAATTTATGTTTTCTTCTTTGCCTCACTTCTCAAAAGAACCTATAAAATCTACTATAACAAACTATAAGGTTCTAAAGTATAGCACACAGGGAACTACATTCAGTATCTTGTAATATTCTATAATAAAAAAGAATATGAAAAAGAATATATAAATGTATAACTGTGTTACTCTCCTATATACCAGAAACTTACACAAAACTGTAAGTAAACTATACTTCAATACAAAAAATTTAAAAATGAAACCTATTGTATTTGTTTCCTTATTACCCTTATTTTTGACTTTCTAGAATATAAGTCATACCTCCTCTTCTCCACCAACTACTTTACTGAAGCTAGTCTCCCAAGGGTGACAATGTCTCACTAGTCAAAACACAGTAGTTTTTTTTTTTCATTCTGAATTTTTCCTCTACATTGAATTTACTGCCTTTCTCCCTACCCTTACAAGTTACATATACTCATTTTAAATCAAAGCAGAAAATACAAAATAAAAACTCCACCTCCTAGAAGTAACACACTATTACCATTTGCTATGAGTATTTCAGACCTAAGGTGCAAGTATATGAATTTAAAAATGAAACAGCCAAAAACAGAATGATACTATATATGCTATTTTATATACTTGTAGGTTCAGTCCTCTTGTCTCCTCTTCCATGAGTCCTTACCGAATCTCCATGTTTAGCATGAAAGAGTAACTGATGAGAAGTCTCATTCTATCATTCCATCCTACCCTCATGCCACTAACTTTGCCAGTCAAAACTAGTACATCCTGTATCTTAGCAGACAGAACTTCTTACTACAGTAGATACAATTCAACTATAAGTATTTAGAAAGAAAAAAGCTGAAAGAGAAACAAACGTTAAAACAGCATTCATAAACCTACCCAACATTTTTCTTACAAGGTAGTTGATAAGGATTTGCTGTTACTGAGTCAGTTTCATCACAATAAATATGACTCTAGTGTTTAAAGAAGGTGTGCAAACCAGTCAGTTGATTTGGTGCTCCAACAGAAATCTGAAAACAATACTCTTTCTCAATGTGGGGGAAAAGCTGGCCAATTTAAACTTCCTGAGATGGTACAGTAGTTTTCAATGTGGCTCTTAAATATGGCTACATATGCTGTACTTCACTAATGATCAAACAGATCTGCAGGTTTATTGCAACTCTACTTAGTATTTTCCCATGAGACTGAGAACCGATCCCAGCATAAGACGTATTTTCGCTGTAATTCCTCAACACACTAGTTCCTTCGATATCATATTTATGCCAGTGGTTGATCAGTAACAGTGCCATGTGATGTAGTTACAGGTATCCTAAAATATCAGTTAAAAGATAATAACTACACATGCTCATCTCTTAGCTTCTATTCACCTTGCTTGGTGTTAGACTTTGAAACGAATTCTAGTTGGGAACCAGGTTGCCAACTTAGGATAAAGTTTGACTTCTTCAGTTAAAAGTGTTGTGAAGTCTTTCAAGGTAAACAAATAAATAATAATCATTAGAATGTTGAGAAGATTAGCATTTTCCCACTTTCTAACTTACAATAAAAATAAAACACAAAATCCTTAACATGCCAACAAATAAGTTAAACAAACATACTCATAATCTGGCTTTTTGGGTAAAAATCCATCTTGTGTATCATCTTCCATGTAGTGCATGTCAGCATACAGGTCTGTAGTTCCACTTGAATTAAATGTTCCTTGAATACTTTGGCTGTATTGTTGAAGACGCTTCCATAAGTCATTATAAAGACGCAACAATTTAGGGTATTCTCCTTCAAATGCCTGCTTCAAAAACATAGAAGCTGCCAAGCAAAACAGTAACTTGAATTACCTTCATGATAAAATAATAAAAAGAAGCAAAAAAAAATTTCTTTTGTACATGAAGATGGTGCTACAAATAGCATTTGCTATAGGACAAACCAAAGATGTATTCTAATAAAGCCTTTTGAGATAATGCTAGTAACAGTAATCTTCCTTCCTATCTAATGTATTTGATATGTGGACCATATTTCCAAAATTTAATATAAAAGGAAATAGACAAATTGATAACTACAGCTGAAGATTTTAATTCTCCCAATAAATGATAAAATAAGTCCAGAGAAAATCAGTAAGCATATAAAAAAACCTAAACACCACAACTCAAAATTTACTTAATTGATATTTATAGAATATTTCATCCAAAACAGCAATGTAGCCATTATTTTCAAGTACACATGAAACATTTATGAAGATTGATAATTTCTGACGTCAAGAAACAGTCTGAGTAGATTTAAAAGGTTTCAAGTCATACAAAGTATGTTCTCTAATCAAAATAGTTTTAGATGAGAAATCAGTAACAAAGATATCTTTTAAAAATCCTGGATAAATATTCGGAAGTGGAATTGCTGGATCAGTTCTATTTTTAATTCTTTGAGGAACCTCTGTACTGTTTTCCATAGTGGCCACACATTCCCGCTAACAATGCACAGGGGTTCCCTGCTCTCCACAACCGTATCTTGTTATTTCTTATCTTTTCGATGCTAGCCATTCTAACAGGTGTGAGGTAGTATCTCATTGTGGTTTTGATTTACATTTTGCTGATTAGTGATGTTGAGCATCTTCCCATGTAGCTGTTGGCCACCTGTATGTCTTCTTTGGAAAAATGTCTGTTCAGATCCTCTGCCCATTTTTTAACTGGACAGTTTACTTTTTTTTGTTATTGAGTTATATAAGTCCTACATATATTTTAGATATTAACCCCTTATCAGATACATGATTCACAAATACTTTCTCCCATTTAGTAGGCTGCCCTTTCAGTTTGTTGATTTCCTTGCTGTCCAGAAGCGTTTATGTTCGATGTAGTCACGCTTGTTTATTTTCCCTTTTGCTGTCTTTGCTTTTGGAGTCAAATCTCCCCCCCCCAAAAAAATCATGAGATATGACTATGTATCTGTTAGAATGGCTAAAATTTAAAAAAATCAAGTGTTGGTGAAGATAAAGGAACTGAAACTCTCATACATTGCTGGTGGAAAGGAAAAATTATATAATCATTTTGCAAGAGTCTGGCATTTTCTTAAATTGTTAAAGATGTATCTACCATATGGTGAAACCATGCCTTTTCCAGATGTTTATCCAATAGAAACTAAAGTCTATGTCCATTCAAAGACTTATATATGAATATTCAAAGCATCTTTATTTGTAATAGCCAAAAACTGGAAACAACCCAAATGTCCAAAAACAAGTGAATGCATAAACAAACTGCAGTATATCTGCACAATGGGATACTCTCCAGCAGTAAGAACGCACTACAATATGGATGAATCTAAATATAATCACGCTGCAGGAAAGACACATAAGAATCCATAATACATGCTCTATCATTCAGTTTGCACATAGTTCAAGGAAGTGTAAACTAATATATAGTGACAAAAAGCTGTTCAGAATTCACCTGGGGAAGGAAAAAGGAGACGGCAGGGAGAGAGGAATTACAAAGGGGACAAACTTTCGCGGGTGATAAATATGCCCATTGATTTTAACTGTCTTGAAAGTTTCATGGGTGTGTATATATGTCAAAACTTACCAAACTGTACACTTTAATTATGTTTAGTTTATTGTATGCCAATTATACTCTAGTAAAATCCTTTTAAAAAAAAAACCTCAGAGAGAACATCTTTGAAATCTCCCCCTCTCCCCCACCCAACGAAGTAGCAATTCACCATGGCCCTGAGCGTCCCTACACATTCTTGCACGGTCTGTAATAATGCGAAGTCCCAGTTGCTCGTCATCCAGGCCATTTATCAGGTTTGTATTTGTAGCAAGCAATCTTGAAGGATGAGGTAACCTCGCCCTGCACACCAAAAGCAGGTTTGCTTGCTGCTTACGGCAAAAGTGGTAGACTCTCCAAGCTTACGGTTCTCACCTGTGATGCAAACTCAGCACACATACCCTTCACAGGGGCTCAAACCCTGTCTCCCCAGGAGACCTGGAGGCATGGAGAACCAACAAACAATATGCCAATGCTCACGCAGCTTGCTGGGTTGTGAGTAATATTACTTCTACTCTGACTCAGGAGTCTTAGGTCTTCCGACAGTATTCAGAAAACTTTGGGAGGCTAGCCTTTTTAAGCAAGACAAGATCTCAGATCCTTCACTGTACTTGAACTCTTCTAACCTAAACCATATTCCTTTCATTATACTCCCATAACAATCTGTTCTTGGCCTCCTTTGCATTTACCACAATTTCTAATTTTGTTTAAAGTATGCTTCCTTTAGTTGACTGTAAACTCCCTGAGGACAGGGACAATACTTATTTTCTTCAATGAGTATTTGGTATTCAGCATAGTGCCTGAAGTAGTAGAAAATAGTTCTATATAGGACAAATCATTGTGGAGTGTTTCAGATAGCCAAACTTTGACCATTTTATTTCAATAAATGTGATTAATCAGTTCTAAGCTACTTAAGTGAATATACTTCAAGCTTATAAATAAATATTGGGTGTTAAATCTTGAAGCTAAATTCTACTTTACTTTCTTTTAAACTAATTATCAAGTGTTCCCATCGATTATCTACAAACTTGATTATAATCAATATTTGATAAATATTTGTAGAACACATATTGCACACCTTAATAATCTAACAAATCACTTAGAAAATGACAGGTTATTAATTGCCAGTTACTTAGTAATTCATTACTCAGATTATGTCCTTGTGTTAGCAATTGCTTTTTTTTTTTTTTACAGTAACTAGTGATTCCAACATAGGCACTAACATGGAGATAAAACTCATCTTTATTCCCAGTACCTTGTTTCACTCTTTATAGCAATGAGCACTACAAGAAACTATTTATTAGTTTGTGTTGACTACCGTCCTCCTTTAGAATGCAAGTTTAATGAGAACAGGGGTATTATTTGACTTGTCTCTGTATTTCCTTTACCTAGAATAACACCAGGCATTGAATTATTGAATGAACAAACAAACTGCAGAAAGAATGAAGAGGGGTCTAGGTTGGAATGAAATCGTTTCCCCAGATTCTAATAGCCTAGTCTTAATTGCCTCCCTCCTCCCATTCCCCTTGGTTCAAGGCTTCAGAGGACAACCCTAACATCTGCTTTATCCCAGAGCTGCAGCTCTTGTAGTTCTTGCCTTAGTCTTGAGTAGCTGTGCTCACTCTCAGCCTGTGTGTATGCTTCTGCTACTGCATCTCCCTGTCGAAAGACTGAGTACCCTGTCTCTAGGCCACTGACGGGGGTCCTGACCAAGAATGGGCATCACTCCTTAAAACTCCCACCAACATTCAGACGACCAAACTCTGGGCAATGCAAAATCTGGAAGGTAGATTTATCCACTCAACAAATATTTGCTGATCATTTACCATATGACAAGTACTGCTGTAACCACTGCATATGCAGCGGTGAACAACATAAGCCAAGTTCCTACCCATAAGGAGCTTACACTCTAGTGAGGGATAAAAACAATAAACAAATCATTACGTATCATAATGTCAGGCAGTCTTAAGTCTCTGAAGAATAATAAAACAAGGTTAGAGAACGTATAGTGATAGGAAGTGGGATTTTATTCACTGCAGATAGGGAGGACTCTGAGTGAAGCAGAGATTGAGCCATTTGGGTACTTGGGGAAAGAATTCAGAGGGAAGAAACAGCAAAACCCAGCAGAGACCACTGCTCTTATTTTAACAACTTGACATGCTCTTTAAATATGTCGGCCTGAGAGAGTCCCCCCTTTTTAAGTACATTGCCACCTATTTCTAGTTCATTCCTTTCCTAACTGACTCAGTCCCCAATAAAAACTGTCAGTCTTGCACCTGAATCACTGTGCATTATGAAAATAGAGGCCAGTAATACACTGGGTTCGATAGGTCTTAGACAATGTTTTGTTTCATAACTGCATTAGACATCTATTACTACATAATAAACTGCTACAATATAGCTGTTTATTTTTAAAAGATACATTTATTATCTCATAGTTTCTGTGGGTCAGACATGCTGGGTTGTCTGCTTCGGGGTCTCTCACAAGGCTATAATCAGGCTGTCAGCCACTGCTGGAGTCTCATTTGAAGGCTCAACTAGGGAAGGATGTGATTCCAAGCTCATGTGGCTGTTGCCAGGATTCAGCTCCTTACAAACTGAATTGGATTGAGGGTCTCAGTTCCTAGCCTGCTTATGGCTGAAGGTCAATCTTAGTTCCCCACCAAGTGGACCTCTCCAATATGGCGGCTTATTTCATCAAAGCTTCTAATCCAGGAAGGCAACAGAGAAAGCCTGCTACCAAGATGGAAGTTTTGCTCTTATGTAACATAATCACATAAGGGACACCCTCTTTGCATGTTCTATAGGTTAGAAGCAAGTTGTACCCACACTCACGGGGAAGAAATTAGACAAGGACGTAAATACAGAGGCAGGGATAATTCGGAGCTATCTTAGACTCTGTCACAATAAAATGAACCATACTTCATTCAAATCAACAAAAATCATATAATTATAAAAGTCAAATGTTGAGGGCCATATAGCAGTCTGGCCAATAACTACTTTCCAAATATTGAAATATTATGGACTATATTACTCTTTCTTTACATAAAAGTTTTATATAATAAAATTATTTAAAGTATTGTTGAAAAAATAGCCTAAGCAAACTACAGAAATAGTTCAGAAGTAAAGTATAGAATAAAATATGGGTAAGTCAATTGCACCCAAGTTACTGTTTTCCCATTACGCCTAAAAAGAACTTTTTTCTAAGTTCCAGAAACCTATGGTCCAAGACATATATTAAAAGATAAAGAATGTTTATATGAACTAAAACTAGCCACA